CCCTATTGAGACTGAAATTGGTCCCAATAATTAATACGGACCGATTTCAATCCCAATATAGTTTAGAATCTAGAAATTCTTGCTAGTACACTTTTATTTTTCTAGCATTTATTCTTTTAAAGTTACATATACTACAATAATATAATTACACTTTTAACTAACTGGAAAAATCTCGTGAATTAGCTATTGTTTTGCCCAAATTTCTAGAAGTTGCAGTCACTGTTCACTGCGTGATCACTGCTCATGGGTACTATTCATGCACTAATGGCCAACAATAAGAGGGTTTAAATGTGTAGTTATATTCAGAATAAAATTGAGACGTCTGGTCATATGGTTATTAATTTTGGAATATTTTGGCTAGGTTCTGGATTATTCTACCACCCTAGCACTTGGATTGAGTCTTCGGTTTTATGCGAGTGAGGTAAGTAAATTATGGTAATGCCCTTCGATTTTAAAGCATGTTTTAAATTGATTTTGTTAGCACTGAGCATGATTGGTTTGAAATGAAATTGTTTTCATTTGCATTGAGTAGACCATGCCTACTTGGAATTGACTGAACTGCCTTGATGAACTGAGAATTTTGTAAATTCTGAGTTTTTCTGTTAAATCCATGCTCACATGGAAATTTTTCGGTTTATTTATGAAATTTGAGATTGATTGTGAATTCTGGATTTTTCTATAAATCCTGCATGGTTTTGTCTCTGATATAGTCATGATTACTAACGCCCGCTAGTGGGAGTTTGCAAACGCTGGCACATGTCGACATGTTTACTGATATGACTGGTTCATTCTGTAATCCTGCCAATGGGATAATACATTTGTAATTACTGATGCCTGCTAATGGGCGAATACATTGGTAATTACTGACGCCTGCCAGTGGGAGTTTGTTAAACACTGGCCATGACTTATAGATGAGATTACTACTGAATTTTCTTCTGCATTAACGGTTTGTTATTGAACTGAATCTGATTCTGCATTAACGGTTTGTCATTGAACGCTTTGCTATTGAAATGAATTTGATTCTGCATTAATGGTGTCACGCCCCAGAACCCAAATCTGGGGGCGTGGCATACGCCGTGCACTCGTGAGAAGGTCCCACAAATGCACAAGGCTCGAAACTTACTAAGTTCATACTTAGCAATTCAGGTAATTCAGATCTAAGCCTTTTTAATTACCAAATATTTACCAGTCAGATGTGCAAGATTTATCATTTCATATATATAGTCATGACTAGCACTAAATTCTGTACACAAAATTTTCTATGTCAAGCATGGGTGACTAACGGCTTAGCTACAAAAACCTAAGTCCAAAAGTGCCTAGCCGTCTAGCTCGTCACTCCCCCGGGCTTCCCACGTGTCGGGTCTCACTACTTGAAATGGTGGACAAGGAAATCGTGAGATAAAATATCTCAGTAAGTAAACATGGGGGCCCAACATCAAGGTTTAAAGCATGCCAAATAATCGGTTTAAAACATGAACAGAGCATTTCAAGAACAAAGCGTTTCAAGAACGGAGCGTTTCAATGACAAATCATTAATGCAAAATAAAATCACGTAGTGGTCTCCTCTATTAGTCATGGCCAGTGTTATAAACCTCCCACTGGCAGGCTACAGAAATTACTAGTGTATAATCCCCACTAGTAGGGCTACAAGCGAACCGGTTCTATCACTAATATGTCGACATGTGCTAGCGTTTATAAACCTCCCACTAGCGGGCACACGATTATCACGACCATATTGGAGACAAAACCAAGCAAACTTTACAAACAAAACTGAAATTCACAATCGTTCTCACTTTCAAGAATAAATCAAAAGGATCTCATGTGGGCATGCTCAATTCTAGAAAAGAAGAAAAATAATAAAAGTTCAAATTCCCTTTTTAATCATGCTCAAATGCAAATAAATCCATTTAAACCTCGCCACCATCTCAGAAAACAATTAAAATATACTTCAAAAATTTACGGGCTTTACCATAATTTACTTACCTTAATCACGCAGACAAAAGGCTTAATCCAAGAACTAGGGTCTTAGGGCGATCAAGGACCTAATCACAATATTCTCGAGTTAATATCTATAAGAAAATTTTATTCCTTTATTTATTTTCATTTCTGCTTTTCTATCCGGAAATTAAGCATTAACCGGGATTGGTTATTTATCTATGTATCTACCATTATATAATTACCCATATACCATTTTCCTCAATTTCATGGACAAGCAATGGGAGAACCGGCCTTGACAAAAATGGCCAACTCACGGGGTTCTCCCCTTTCCTCTTGGACACACACACAACAGCCAAAACCCCCTAATTTCCTACACAAATCATCAACCAAAACCCATTTCTCAATTCACCAAAACTCATCCCCCACCTTCGGCATCTTGGTCCTTGACAACCCAAACACCCACCCAACTAATTAAGCTCACAAGCAACAATTAATCCACCAATTTTCAAGGATTAGAGAAGCCAACTTACCAAAAATGCTCAACAAGCAAGTTGGAGCTGGCGGGATGAGGAAGTGCCGGCGGGAAAATGGCAGGGGAGCTTCACGCAGACTTCTAGCAATTGAAAGAAAAGAGAATTAGAGTAACTCACACAAACTAAAGCTGAAAAGAGGAATTTATGGGCTGGTTTTACCAGGAAGAAAACCAGCAGCAGCCGGCGGCAGAGGGGGAGGAAACAAAGCAGATCCGACGGCTTTTCTGCAAAAGAAAGAGGTTCTAAGTCCTAGACTCGTTCTTGGGCAAGAGGAGAACAAAAATCATCAAGTTCTCTTACCAATTTTGCAGGTGGGGACGCTGGAAAATGGCTGGGTTCACTTCGGCTGCAGCAAGGAGAAAAACAAAGCAAACGCGAAATGGCTGGAAAGAAAGAAAGAAAGAAGAAAAAGAAAAAGGAAATGAGTCAACCGGCCTTATCCAATAAGAGTTTTAACCCCTTTGAAGTTTGAAAAATTGACAGTTAGGTCCATTAATAATGTTTTCTCACTATTAAGTCCCTAACTCAACTTATATGCTCTAGGAAATTTTGGGGTATTACATCCACCCCTCCTAAAAAGGAGTTTAGTCCCCTAAACTCATACCTCAATCTTGGAAGAGGTGCGGATGTTCCTGCCTCATCTTGGATTCCAACTCCCAAGTAGCTTCTTCAACCAAATGGTTGTCCCAGAGGACCTTAACAAAACGAATGGTCCTTCTCCGCATTACCCTCTCCTTGGAATCTAAAATGCGGATCGGGTGCTCGTCATAAGTGAGATCCTCCCGGAGTTGAATTGGTTCGGGATTAATGATGTGATTCTGGTCGGGAACATGCTTCCGAAGTAAAGACACATGAAACACATCATGAACACTCGCTAGATTTCCAGGCAACTCCAATTTATAAGCTACCTCGCCAATCCTTTCCAAGATGGGATATGGTCCAATATACCTCGGACTCAATTTTCCTCGGATGCCAAACCTGAGAACACCTCGAGTGGGTGACACCTTCAAAAATAC